CGACCAAGACGTACGAGTATCGGTCCCACCACCAGTACCAGTGCCACTACACCCACCAGTTCGACCAAGAGTACGAGTATCGGTCCCACCACCAGTACGAGTGCCACTACACCCACCAGTTCGACCAAGAGTACGAGTATCAGTCCTATCACCAGTATGAGTACTAGTACGTCTACCAGTCCGAGTATCCGTGCAATCGCCAGCAAGCGCCCCCGTGCAACCGCTAGCAAGCCTCCCCATGCAACCGCTAGCAAGCATTTCTATGCAATCGCTACCAAGCGTCCCCGCGCAGGTCCCCGCAAGCGTACGAGTGCGTCCACCACTGCAGGTAGCAGTGCAGCCCCCCCCAGCAAGCTTACCCCTGCCCCCCCCAGCAAGCTTACCCCTTCAACTGCCAGCCCAGGTGACGAACCAGCATGGCGTGAGTTATCAGCGGGGTCTGTTCTGCGCTTAGGCACTCGTTTTGGTTAGGCACTCGTTTTGGTTAAAAGTAGTCATTGACAGCGGGGCGTGCGTCTAGGTCTTCTGAATCAGTGAGAGCTTCATCAGTGAGTGCCTCCTCCGCAATGTCTTTTCCGAGTTTGATTTTGCCTTGTTTTTTGCCTTGCTTCTTGCCTTGCTTCTTGCCATGTTGTCTAGCAGTAAGGAAGTAATCATTAAAGCACTTGGTGGCCTTGGTCTTGGTGGCCGTGTCGAGTTTATCATAAGGATGAGTGTGCGTCCGTTGTGGCGTGAGAGGCATGCGAAGAGTCTCGAGCCCCTCGATGGCGAGTTCTTTGTCGGTGAGGCGGTAGGTAACGGCTCTCTCCATCATGGTCTGGAAGGCGGCTTCGTTTCGGTTCGCTTCCCCCAGTGGTTGGCAGATATATTCATTCAGCAGTTCGAAATATCCATCTTCAAGACAGCCATGGTAGCCGACGCAGTTTTTGATTGCGGCCGCACAACGCTTCTTTTTGTTTCTTGCAGAGATCTTCCCCAACAGACGCGGGAACTCCATACGAGGTGTACGTCCAGGGTTTGCCAGCATTGCCGGCAACACCGTTGAGAACATACCCACGTCTGGCAATAGGTCCCACTGATTCCGTTCGCGCAACTTCGCACCGACCACGTCGCCGAATGCCACACAATCGCACACTCGCCCAATCGCCGCAGCCGCACGCTCCGTCCCCACCCAGCTTCGAACCACGTTCTCTTGCATTATCAGCGGCATCATGTCGAAGTCGAAGAAGAAATAATCCAACCGCTCCCGCATACTCAACTTCCCGCACTGACTTAAAAGCCGCCCTGCCAATGTGAACACATCATCGTAACTAGACACGTCCTTCCCCGCTCCAGCTGTCGCTCCAGTTGTCGCTCCAGCTGTGTTCAAATGCTGGCATTTGCTCTGGAGCATATTGAGCATTTGACGCATGTCGCGGTTGCTGGCCTCGTAACACTGCTGAACGAACTCCTCAGTCAGCGCGGCACGCTCGATAGAACCACATTCCTGGCCCACAATGGCCAAACAGCGCGCGATCGCCGCCTGCCGGTCCGGGGCCGTAAAGTCGATCACTTTACAGTGCTTCGCCAACGCCTTGACCTTCTTGTGCTTCTTGTCATTGCAGGTCATCACCAACGGCACCGCTGAAACCTGAACCATCCGACTCAACGCGTCGCTGCCCCCGAAGTCACCCGCACTCAACCCGTCAGCCTCATCCATCAATACACACACACGCCCCACCAGCGCGCCGCGGTGCAGCGTGCGTCCGCCCGAAATCAGGGGCTCCAACACTGCAACATACACGTGTCCCACGCCCGTGTCCCACGCCCGTGTCCCACGCCCGTGTCCCACGCCCGTGTCCCACACCGGTTTCGCACACCCCTGTCGCACATCCCTCCCCTCCTCTTTCCCCCCAGTCCCGGTGGGTCACCTGCCTTGTAATTGCTTTCTGCTGCGTGTGTCGCTGGCGTTGAACTCGAGGAGTTGGTAACCGAGAAGTTTGCAGACAGCGAGGACGGCGCTGGTTTTACCGACGCCGGGCGGGCCGCAGAGGAGGCAGCCGCGTTCGGCGGCAGCGGGCCAGGCGGTGAGCCAGTCATGTAAGGCACGGAAAGCGCCGTGGTTGAAGACGAAGTCGGCAGGTTGTTCAGGACGCCAGCGTTCAGTCCAAAGGGTCGCCAGCGGGTGAGAAGGTTCTAGCGTGGCCAAGTTCGTGGCCGGAGCCTGTATGTCTGCCAACAACTCCGGGAAACGCGATAGAAAGTCTTCCTCACTCAACACCTCTAGCCCAACTCCAGAACCCGATGCCGCCAACGCCGCCGCCTTCCGGAACTTAGAACCTGCCTCCACTGGACGACCATCCTCCAACTGGGCACCATAAACCAAGTAATTAGTCACACCTGATACCGCCGTTGTTACCACTCCTCCCGCTGACCGCACCTTGGACTCCAACAAGGAACGAGACATGCGCACTGGTACACCCGTTACCACCACCTTCACACCCGCCAACCCCGAGCCCGAATCCACACTCCGACGCGCCACCTTTCGCACAGGCACTCCCGCACCCGGCCTCTTTCGCGGTGTCATGCTCAAATTTTGCCCCACCCTTTTACCGCCGGGTTCACCACGACGGCGTTCACGCCCTGACCTTAAAATCCGGCCAAGGCACCGCAAGAAGCAGCGTCCGTTGCCCTAAAAAAAGTCACGCTGTTCTCGGCCACGAAATGCAGCACGGAGACTCACCCGCAATCTCGCAACGCCACCTTCAGCAGATCTCAAACTCGGGCATGTACTCTGCACGAAAATTGGTAATCCGTCTCAGGCTCGCGTTTAGGCACGTAACCTCAGTGAAGACCTTCGGTGCCATCTCCTTCGGGCTGCCGGTACCTCTGGTCTCGCACAAACTACCGCATGGTTGACGGCTTCTTTGTCCACCACACACCCGGAGGCCGCAGCAACCCCGAAAAGCGTTTTTCCTGTAGTCAGCTTGCCTTTTTCCCCACCGAGTCTAAAGTACCAGGCCGGCAACCACGGGAGCCAGCAGGCCACCCATGAAGGCTGATCTCGGCTGCAACTTTTGAGACGCCTTGACGGAGTCTGGTCATCTGCAGTGATTCGAGGACGGGAGGACATCGAACATATCTGGCGCACGCGAAGTCCTCCCGATTCCTGAAGTCCTCCCGATTCCTGAAGTCCTCCCGCTTCCTGAAGTCATCCGGCTTCCTGAAGTCCTCCGGCTTCCTGAAGTCCTCCGGCTTCCTCCACGCACAACTTGGCTATGGTGTTGGCCGAAAATTCTATCTCGAATATTATGTCTACGAAAATTTTTAGGCACGCCACGAGGGCACGACAGCTGGATGATAACTCAACGAAAAGGCTAATAATCTCAGAGACAACGACTGAGGCATCATATCCATTGTCGACTCTCCGTTGTCGACTCTCCAGTGGGGAACCCCACCGTGTGGACTAGTGAACGGCACCTCGGGGCGTAGTGGGGCGGGTGTCCCCACCGTGTTAGCGGGGGCAGCGAACTGGTGATCACAGACCACTTATTATTTCCACCGGCAACCAAGAGGACTCAAGAACAAGATCTTGTCCAATTATTTCAGGACTCGAGAAAAGATTAGCAATCTCGGAGACGACGACTGATACCGATTCAAATCAGATAGAACAGAAGCGATTTACTTTTTTCGGTTTGTTCGGAGATGCGCACGTTCAAGAGTGAGTCTAGTGGCATGCCGGGAAGCGAGTTGTTGTCGGTGCTGATGGGTCCTAACGGCAGCCAAACGAAGTTGGATGACTGTGTGGCACAGGTGGTTACGATAGGCGCGGGTGGCGGCGAGGTGACGGCTTTGGTGTTGGCGCACAAGACGGCGTTTGAGGTGGAGGTGGAGACAGTCGGCGAGCTAACGCCATTGACAATGGAGACGACGATGGTGGAAGGCGAAAACTATGACTGGTTCGAGCAGTGGGACCGACTGATGGTCTGGCGGCCGAAGGACGGGCCTTCCAGCGACAAACGCGCGGAGGCGGCGCTGTTGGCCGCACTGCGGGGCCGTTTGGCTCGCAGTGGTCCGCGGAATAAGCCTGAGGCGGTGGACGCTCTCTGTCGCCAGGTCTTTGGGGAACACGACCTGCACGACCTGCACGCCATCCTGAAAGGGAGCGGCGAGATGCAGGAGCAGGAGGACGGCGTTACCGTGGCTGTGACGCGACCCGTGGACCCGTCGGAGTTGGCGGAGCTCTTGGCCAGGGTACCCAAGGGCTGGATGCCGGTGCTTCAGAGGTCGGCGGAGTGGAAAACCGCGGACTGGATCGACGGCGGGGACGTCGAGGCCACACAGAGGAAGCCTAGACGCGAAATGCAGCGCTGCCTGTACACTACCGCTGGCGTTTTGACGGCGGGCCTGACCGTCGGGCTCTTTGCGAACTTGCTGTTGCCGTCGTTTGAACGAGGGCCGACGGGGACGGCGGGAGAAGAGGTTATGTTGCCGGAGACCTTCGCGAAATTGAGCGACGACCGAACGGGGTTCGTCTGGGCGCGTGGAGACTACCCCGTCCCGGTGGCGCAATGCGGCAGCGGCACCCTACTATGCGGTAACGAGTGCAACCAAACCGGCAGCCGCCCTTGGTCCATCTCCTTCGGCTACCCCTGGCCCCTCTCCTTCCCTCTCGCCTGGAACATCGCCCACGAGTTCGCACACGGAAAGTGTGAGATCAACTGCCGAACGCCTGCAGAAATTATAGCCTCCACCAATACACGACTCCTGACGCACTTCCCCCTCCAAAACCCGCTCAACACGACCATGTCGAGTGAGGACCAAGTCGAAGAAATCTTTGGGGCACTTAGAACTCGCTATTGTGCAGTTCCAAATACTTCGTGGCAGATCGTCGGCTCGCGGTCAAACTGTGTTTGCGACGCAGCTGTCGCCGGCTGTCGGGTGGTGAAACAAGGCGTCGAGGAAGTGCTCAATAATGATCGGGAATACCGCGAGGTTGTATTCGCCGATTTCGAAGCGCCCTTGGCCAGGGTGGCCAACTCCTTCGCTGACTACCCAGATGACGTTTACGACGTCACCAACTGCGGCTACACCTGCTGGAACTTGACTCCAGAGGCCAGAGAGACCGTACGGGCAAACAAGGCCGCAATAGCCGCATACCAGGCCACCAGTACCAGTGCCACCCCTAGCACAAGTACTGGTGCCACCCCCAAAAAGCATACAACCAAGAAGGTTACCAGGAAGGACATCAAGTTCATCCGTCTTTCTATTGGTTGATGTCAGCGGAACGGTTCTTGGTCGTCTGAATCACGCCAATCAATGACAGTGATCAGCGCATCGTCTGTGAGTGCTTCGTCAGTGACACCTTCAACAACCTCCAGCGAAGCAACTCCCCTCATCCTCCATGTTCGTCCACCATGTTCTGCATCGATTAGCCGCCATCGGAGCTCCTTTGCCAAGTGCCGAGTTTCCTGCTTTTGTGCCGTCCAGGTGGTGTGTTATGGAGACGAGGTGTGCGAATTCTTTTTACGTCTCTTTTTTGACAAAACGCGTAAGTTGGTCACATCCCAGGAAGCAAGGAGTCGGAGTTGGTGAGTGGGACGGCAGCCAGATGGCTGGTTACGCTAGGTGCTTAATCGCCCCGTGTGCACGAAGACTGATCTTTCCGATTTGGTGTCCGCTCACGAAGACCGACGCCGCCGCGAAGTGCTGGAAGGCTGTTGCCGCTGGTGTGTGCAGGGGCAGCGAACGGCGATCACAAACGTGGTGGTAGAGTAGAGGTGGCAGTTTCAACAGAACGTCCCCACCCGGCCACAATCGAGGTAGCAAGACCACGGTGGAAAGCATTATATAATAACTCAGGAAAAAGGGTCTCAGACGACGCCTGACGCAGATCGAATTTCAACTAACTTGATGGAATAGAGGCGAATTTAGTTTTTGAGATGCGCACATTCAAGACTGAGGCTAGTAGCCTGACGGGTAGCGAGTTGTTGTCTGTGCTGATCCGGGCGGACGGCAGCCAGACGAAGGTGGACGATTGTGTGGCACAGGTAGTCACGATACGCGCGGGTGGGGGCGGCGAGGTGACGGCTTTGGCGTTGGCGCCCAAGACGGCGTTTCAGGAGCCTGTCGGCGAGAGTTGGAGACGGCCGTCGACGGCGATGGTGGAGGGCGACTGGTTCGAACAGTGGGGCCGGCTGATGGTGTGGCGACCGAAGGAGGGGCCTCCGAACGACAAGCGCGCGGAGGCGGCGCTACTGACGGCGCTGCAGCGCCGGCTGGAGAGAATGGGACCTCGGGACAAGCCGGAGGCGGTGGAGGCGTTGTGTCGCGAAGTCTTTGGTGAACGCTTGCATGAGCTGCACGCCATCCTGAACGGGAGTGGCGAGATGCAGGACGACCACGACCTCACCGTGGATGTGACGCGGCCGATAGATCCGTCGGAGTTGGCGGAGCTCTTGGCGCGGGTGCCCAAGGACTGGATGCCGGTGCTGCAAAGGTCGGTGGAGTGGAACACTGCGCACTGGAAGACACAGGGCTGGAACGACGGCGGGAACATGGAGACACTGGCGAAGCCCGGATGCGAAACGAAGCGCTGTCTGTACACGACCGCGGGCGTTCTGGGGTTCGGCGCGGCCGTTGGGTTCCTTGCGAGCTTGCTGCGTCCCGTCGAATCGCCGCAGCGGCAGGTGACGGGAGAACAGTCTGGGACGTACGAGCAGTTGAGCGACGCCCGGGCCGCGGTAGTCTGGATGTTGGGGGACCCGGTCCCGGTGGCACCATGCGGCAGCGGCATTTTGCTCTGTAACGCGGGGTGTAAGAACTCCGGCAACGGTCCTTGGCCCATCTCCTTCGGCAGCCCCTGGCCGGCCTCGTTCCCGCTCGTCTGGAATACGGCTCACGAATTGGCACCAACGAAGTGCCAAGTCCTATGTCATACACCCGAAGAAACGAGGACCTCATTCGACGCACGACTCCTTAATAACTTCCCCCTTCAGCCTCCGTTCAACGATACGGCCATGTCGCGTGAGGAGGTACTCGAGCAAATACTCGCAGCACGAACTCTCCGCCGCACAGGTTGGGGAGCGGCGTGGCAAACCGTCGGTATGCTCTCCGACTATAACTGCGACCTGGCCAACGTCACGTGCGAGGTGATGACCAAGAGTGACCAAGCGAAGAGCAATGTCACACTCACCGACTTGGAAGCGCCCCTGGCCAGGGTTGCCGGCTCCTTTGCTGACTACCCGGAAGACATCTACGACGTCTCCAATTGCGCTTACGACTGCTGGCAACTGACTCCAGAAGCTAAACGGATCATAGACGCAAATAAAATCGCAGGAGCAACCCGCCAGACCACCAGTACCACCCCCAGCATGCGTACCACCTCCAGCAAACGTGCTCGTCCAACCTCCAAAAAGCTTACCAGGAAGGACGTGAAGTATATCCGTCTTCATATTGGTTGAATGGTTTTACTTGGGTCGATTAGCGCTTCCTCGTCGATTGTTGGTGACACAATTCAAACTGTTCGTGAGGGGTTACTCATCCTTCAGACCTTGTCCATGGTGGGATGAGGGGCCCGGGCATCCCTGTTGTCGTTGTCCCTGGGTTCGGCATCGCTGTCAATGGCCGGGATGTCAGGTAGTTGTCCCTGCATTTGTATGTATTAGTCGCGGGAATGAGTTGTGGCAAAGATGAGCATAAAATAAAAATTCCTTTTGAGATCGTGATGTCCCTGAATGGCTCAGATCACGGAGATCTAGGCTGCTTCGAATAAAAGAGAATTTACTTTTTCGTTTTGTTCGGTGATGCGTACATTCAAGAGTGAGTCTAGCGGCGTGTCGGGAGGCGAGTTGTTGTCTGTGCTGATCCGTCCGGATGGCAGCCAGACAAAGTTGGACGATTGTGTGGCACAGGTAGTTACGATACAGGCGGGTGGCGGCGGCGGCGAGGTGACGGCTTTGGTGTTGGCGCCCAAGACGGCGTTTGAAACAGAGTTGGAGACGGTCGGCGAGAGAACCCCGTTGACGATGGAGACGACGGTGCTGGAAGGCGAGGATTACGACTGGTTCGAGCACTGGGACCGAATGATGGTGTGGCGTCCGAAGGAGGGGCGTCCGAAGGAGGGGCGTCCGAGCAACGAACGCGCGGAAGCGGTGCTGTTGGCCGCG